GTCGTAAAATACCGGTATTTTACGACTCCCTGCTCTGGGGGTTATGTACTCTTGGTGGCACTTTTTTTCTTTTTTTTTTTACAAGGAGTCGTAACTTTCTTTTTTTCGTATTATACAAGCCTAGTTCACATTGAAAAACGCAAAATGTTTGGCACCTATGATCAGGGGATGGCCCACGCCTGGTAAAAAAAAACAAAAAAACAATGAGAAGTTGCGTACAAATCATGTACAGACAGACTATGGATTCGAACATAACAGAGTGGAAAACCGGAATCCGAGAAAATGATAACATGCAAAATCATGAAATGGGGGGGGGGGGGGGATGAAGCAGAACAGTAGCCAAACACGCCACGGATAGTTACCGAAAGCACTCTGCAGCAGCAAGGACCACAGAAGCATCAGAGTCAATGACTCTCTGGCGGGCATCTTGAGACCGTGGCCTGCGGTGACCACGGAGGCTGGCATTGGAGGCACGAACAAGAGAAAAGGAAACCCTTGACCTTATAAAGGCAAGAAGTGAGGAGAAGGGCTCCTTTCTCTTATCGGCGAGCATAGAGGCGACACGCTTGAAAAAAGCGGAGGCGGACTTGCCGTAGCCGCCGGAAGCACTGACCACAATGGGAGAAAAAGACGCGTGTTCAACTTCCCGGACGCGTTCTTCGTACGCGCGCCTTTTCTTGGCCTCATGCTTCCGGTAGGTGGCCGTGATGGACTGCTGGCGGTTGGAGCGGGCGTGCGGGTTGAACATCCGGATGTCACCCCCAGTAGTGCCCGTTCGAAACGTCCACCCCAGACACCCGATGTGGCCACATCCAGGCGGGCACCATCCTCGGAGATGGCGGAATGGTGACGGAAGGTCTCACCGGTTAGCGGCTGGAGATGTGGCTCGACCTGGACATCATGGGCCACTTCACGCAGGAGAGATGCGGTGAGATCCCGTAGATCATTATGCCGCATGGCGGGGTAGCCACCAGTTGGGCAAGACAGCGCGTGTTCCGGTGAAAACGCTTTGCCGCACACACATTCTGTTGGCAGGCCTGGAGGGGTCCAACCATACCGTAGGCAGAGAGCGTCCCAGAACGCCTGCTTGTGTAGGTTGAAACCATACTGACGAAGGGGCCGACAGGTCAACCAGCTGGAGGCGCCCTTTTCAGCAGCAAGATTCAGGGTGCGCTCTGCGGTGCTGGTGGAGGTGGCAATGACCGAGGCAACAGCTTCCTTCGCCAGGCGCCGGGACTGGGAAACAATCTCTGCCTTCGCTGTGATGGTAGCAGCTGAGACGCCTTCTGCTGACTGATCTTGTTGGAGGATCTTCTGCTTGAGAGACTTGGTAATATGCATAGAGTCCTGGAACTGGGAGGCAAGGGAGGATGGGTTGACGATCCCCAGCCCTCCGTCCCTGCACGGTAGGGCCAGCATGGCACGCTCGATGTCTCCTGGCGGGACGCGGTTGATGATGGCAGGGATGAATTTGCTACGGATTCTTTCCTCAGGGCCAAGGGTGCGAGCAGGTCGGTCGTATTTGGCACTGTCCGGGCGACAAAGGACCACTTATGGCGAACTCCCTGGCCGAAGGCAGCAAATGCCGCTTGTGGTTGGGTGCGGGCGAACTCAGCCAGAACATCCACTTCGCGACACCACTCATCCGCCTTGCCTGACACATATGCCGAACAGAATGTTGGTGATCCGAGGACGGCACCTAGGTGGCGACACCCATCCGACCGGATGTCTATGCTGGAGTCCTGGAAGATTTCCCTGGCTCGATCTAAGCACTCGGGCTTCACCAAAAGTATCGACTTTTTGGCGTTGATGTAGTATCCATAGGATGGACCTTCTTCTTCCAGGATGGACCACCACTTATGAAGCCTGGTGAGAGTGCTTGCTGCTGTGGAATCATCTGCGAGCCACGCTTGTACGGCCTTGCTAGAGGCAGCACGACGGATGAGAGGCACGGTGCCCAACGCATACATCGTCATTGCGAGCGGATCGCCTTGTGTAGTTCCTTCACAGGAGAGAATGGTCTCGCCACCGACGAACAGCCGGGATGGGGACCGGTACGTATTGACGATGGTGGTGGAGAATTCTGGGCACAGATGCTGGATGTTGCGAATGCATACGTTGCGGTTGATACGATTGAACGCATTTGATGCATCGGCTAGGAGCACGGCCTCAGTGTCGTCTTGCGCGAATGCGGATCGCATAGCGTGGATGGCTGCTTCTATGCCGCTCTGTTGGCCTGCACACAGTTGGAGGCACCCTGTGGCTTGCTGAATTGCTGGGCCTACTACCATCAATATGGCCTTGCCGATAACACTTCGGATTCTTGGTGGCACTGCATTCTACAGTGTTGCACACTCTGGGGCAGGGAGTCGTAAAATACCGGTATTTTACGACTCCCTGCTCTGGGGGTGATGATGGGTACTCTTGGTGGCACTGCATTCTACAGTGTTGCACACTCTGGAGCAGGGAGTCGTAAAATACCGGTATTTTACGACTCCCTGCTCTGGGGGTTATGTACTCTTGGTGGCACTGCATTCTACAGTGTTGCACACTCTGGGGCAGGGAGTCGTAAAATACCGGTATTTTACGACTCCCTGCTCTGGGGGTTATGTACTCTTGGTGGCACTCTGCACTGGTGAACAGCCTCCAACACCGGTGGTCCTTCCTGTGTCGGGTTCTCGATGGTGCTGCAGAACAGCTGGCACCCCTGGAGGACATCATCCACCGCCGCCTAATCCCTGCCATTAGTGGACGGACGGCGCCCAGTGAAGCTGAACGCATTTTGCTCACTTTCCCCTGCCGGCATGGAGGCCTCGGCGTGGCCAACCCTGCCACTTTTGGCTCACAGTACGGCACCTCCAGGCTAATCACCACTGCGCTGTACGACAAGATCATGGCGCAAGAAGAGCACCTCGATGATGCTCTTGCCTGTGTCCGCAGGGCCAAGAGTCAGGCTCGCTCTGAGGCCAGAAAGGCAATGAAGATAGCTGCCGATACGTTCCGCACCGAACACAGCGAACTCGATCTCGCTATCAGTCTGGCAGAGGAGAAGGGAGCATCAAGCTGGCTTACCTGCCGACCCATCGCTCGCCATGGCTTCGCTTTGTCGAAGGGGGAATTCCGGGATGGCCTCTGCCTCCGTTACGGTTGGACGCCTTCTCGCCTGCCAACCACCTGTGTTTGCGAGAAGGCATTCACCACTGCTCACGCCTTGTCCTGTCCTTTCGGTGGGTTCCCCTCGATCCGCCACAACGAGGTGCGCGACATACTGGCAAGCTCATTGAAGGGTGTCGCCCACAACGTCGCAGTGGAGCCACATCTCCAACCCCTGACTGGGGAGCAGTTTCAGCTCCGGTCAGCATCAACCGAGGATCAAGCTCGTTTGGATGTGGTGGCCAGCGGAGTTTGGGGGGGTCGGTTCGAACGCACTTTTATTGATGTACGGGTGTTCAACCCTTATGCGTCTTCGAACCGCACCTCCTCTCTCTCTGGCTGCTACCGGCACCATGAGCAAGAGAAACGGCGTCGATATGATCGGAGAGTCCGAGAAGTGGAGCGATCCACTTTTCTCCCCTTTGTGCTCTCTTCCACCGGAGGATGCGGCAAGGGTGCCGCTGCACTGGTGAGCCGGATTGCACATCTCCAGTCGCTACGTGGGAGGGAGGCGTATTCTGTGCTAATTGCCCACCTCCGCTGCAGGCTGTCTTTCGCCCTGCTGCGTTCGAGTGTCATGTGTCTGCGTGGGGCTCGCCGAGTTTGGCAGCCTCCAATGGATGGCTGTGCCTCCCTGGCTGTCGTGGAGGCTAGGGTGTCCCGTTGAGCCTTGCCCCGTGATTGTGCGAACTATGCTATGCTTCTCTTGCTGTCTGATCACATGCGACGTCATCATTATGATTGTGATTTGTTTTCAATCCTCCGCCATGGCAAATTGTGTTTTGTTCGTCCGTAAAAGAGGCTTTTACTACTAAAAAAAAAAAAAAAAAAACTCTTGGTGGCACTGCGCAAGTACTGCATTCTACAGTGTTGCACACTCTGGAGCAGGGAGTCGTAAAATACCGGTATTTTACGACTCCCTGCTCTGGGGGTTATGTGTACTCTTGCTTGAGTCTTGGTGGCACTGCATTCTACAGACTTACAGTGTTGCACACTCTGGAGCAGGGAGTCGTAAAATACCGGTATTTTACGACTCCCTGCTCTGGGGGTTATGTACTCTTGCAGTCTTGGTGGCACTGGATTCTACAGTGTTGGACACTGTCGCTGATTCCGCCAAAGTGTCTTGAGCTAGCAGTAGCTGGAATAATCAACCCCAACCTCACTGGACTCAGTCCTGCATGTCATACTATTGGGAAAGGCATTGCCATGGATAACAATCTTGACTCCCCGTTGGCTCGCCAACGGATGTCATGCATTCTCAGAATTTGTACCGATCGGTACCGAGGCTGTGTTGGGTCTATACGCACACACAGCCATATGAACCATTTTAATTTAGGGGTCGACAAGGGTGAGGGGGGGGGGGGGGGAGGCGTCGCCCTAAACAACTCTCCAGACACAGGAACTCAACCTTCTCCAGTCACAACACTGTTTGTGCATGGGGACAGCCACTGTGTATCAACACAGCAAAACAATCAAGTATTTCGGGGTGCTAGCCTAGGGAGTCGGGACAAATCGAGGCGTAGTTGTACGCCGTAACGGTTAGCCTACGGTGGGGGCAATGTTAGCCTGTGGGGGGGGGGTGAGAAATTCCAACGAACCATCTTGGAGTGTTTGGTGCCACGTTGACTTCGGGATGGCAGTGAGAATGAGCGCCTGGGCCACGTGGGCTCCCTGAGCAGCCGAACGCCCCCCCCCCCCAACGATTTCTTGAAGTCTCTGTTGACATCATGCATCTGTGCACCTGGCAAGGCAAGGAACACCAGTTGCTGTTCACCTCGGACTTAAGGCTTTAAATCAGCACCCACACGAACCACCATGACTGCACATTGCAAACCGCCTGATTATAGTTCTCGTGGCAAACGTAATTAATTTTTACGAGCAAGGGCAACCGGTTCTATGTGACAAAAATATGCTATGTAGGAAAGAAGAAAAAACCATGCTTGCGCAGTAAAAATAGGCAAAAAGCAAAACAAGGCAATAAGAAGGAGCTCAGCAGGAACATGCTAGCATGTCTAGGCTGGCACAGGAAGCTGGGCAGACATGTAGCGCCAAAAAATCATGCACACAAAGTCAAGTCCATCAAATGAGAGAGGGAGGGGGAAGCGGGGGGGGGGGGGGGGGGCATAAGCCGGGTAACAGCATGCCTGGCCCACCAGCCCGCACAAGCGCCGCCCGGGCACCACCAGCAGCAGCAGCAGGAGAAGAAGCAGGGCATGCAGACGCGCGTACGGCGGGAAGGTAGTACGGAGACAGTGGCGGCGGCAGCAGAGGTGGTGCTGCTGGCGTACGCGCCGCCAAACACAAGCCAGCCACACCACCACCACCACCGACCAACACGGTACTCAGTATCCGGCGTGGCCCAGCGGGTATGAGAGCCGAAATAGAAAAGAAATGGATTTCATGAATCATGGCATTTGGAACAGCTGAAAAACTGAAACCAGGGAAGTACTCAAGTATGCGTGATGTGATCCTAACAAAATAGAGATTTTATAACACCATGATTATACTACTTCAACTTCTCGTACGCGTATGCACGGTAAAAAATCTACATGTACATTGTACATGTATCATGTTCGTCACGTGACAGTCATGCATAACACGAGATGCTCATGCATATGTGAGACCGCGGTGCATACCAGCGGCGCATACATTGAATAGCGATGCAAACAGGAATGGCGACGCATGCTTTAAAAAAAAATTGCAATACGTACGAGTCACTCTCTCGTCTATTATGGAATACACGGGCACACGTGAATGGCGAAGCATAAACGGAATAACGACACATGCATGAATAGCCATGCATACATGAAATTAATAGCGATGCATGCACAGAACCACCAGGGCAATCAAGGCTTGCTAGCCGATATACATGAGCAGCGATGTATGCATAGAATAGCAATTGGAATAACGATACATACATGGAATAATGATACATACATGGAATAGCGATACATGCATGAAATAGCGATACATACACAGCGAAGCGGAGCAGAGCACCCATGGACCAGCTGAGTACGCATCAGCATGGTACAGCATACATACAGGAGAGGTGCACACATACGCGAACAATGCATACTTAGAAGAGCAATGCATGCACGTACATGACAGAGCGATGATTACAGATGCACTCAAAGCGGTCAACTTGTAGGGATTAGGCAGTTATCTAGCGCTAGTCTTGATCTGCTCCATACAGATTTGTCCAGTATCGTAGCTATAAGAAGAAATCTATTGGCGCACATTCAGTGCAGATTAGCAAGCTGCTCTTGCGACACACGTATGCATGATAACTGTACAGTGTGTGGACGTGTGTGTGTGTGTGTGTGTGTGTGTGTGTGTGTGTGTGCGTGTGTGTGTGTGCGTGTGTGTGTGTGTTGATGTGTGCATGCTCATGTTCGCAAAGCTTAGCACAGACACCCACACCCACACACACCCTTGGTGAGCGATTAGTTCTGTAAGCGGTGAACGCTTACAGAAGCTTCGCTTGCCTGCCCAGGGCAAGCGAAGCAGAAACGGGGACATGGTAACCTATGAAACCATCACGAGCGGTCAAGAACATCGTCCATGCCTCGCTGTGACCAAGGCCATACGCCCCTCCGCCTTTCAAACCACCACCGCCGCCTCCTTTTGTGTGCCGCCTCTTTGCAAGAGAGCTGTGAGAAGACGTAGTCGAGGCATCGGTGATTGCTAGCGCTGTGCGCTGTGCCCGCTTCTGTACCTGCTGGTAGTGCACTTCCATTGCAATCATTTGTATGCACCTGCAGACCCTTCGGATGAACTTATCGCCAACCTTGTTCCAAAGGTTGCGACACAGCCATGTGGTTTCAAACCAGACTCCTATTTCTTCTATCTCCTGCAGGAGTCGGGTTGGGATGTGCCGTCTACTAGCAGAGTGGTACAAGGAAAGCAGCCGCGTCCGCAAAATCAATGGATCTGAGTGGCCCATTTCAGGGATCATCCCCAAACATCCTAATAGCAAGGAAATGAAGAAGCAGGTTGACAGGTTAGAACATCCTCCGAAATCACCAAACCAAACGTTTGTGGTGCTGGTTTCGAAATCGTATACACCTCCAGAATGTAGCCATAATGAAATGCAAGAGGGACGGAGAATCATGCTGTGTCGTCTCACACGGTTGTCCAATCTGTTTCGCTCCGCACATCATGACACAAATGTAAAGTGGTATTTCCTGCATGATTGCATCTTGGAGCAGTATAGTGAATGCCTGTCTGCATGCATTCAGTGTCTTGGTACGTAGAGCCATGCACAGTCCAATGGTCCACTCAATTATTGCCATGAAAGGGTGGAGTGCCACATTGAAGCTGATGTATGTCACAGAACTATACCACCGTACTGATAGCGGTGTGTTGCTTTCAGTCGAAACATGCTGAGAGCTACCATCATGTCAAAGATGTTCCGTGTGTGTGTGTGTGTGTATGTGTGTGTGTGTGTGTGTATGTGTGTGTGTGTATGTGTGAGTGTGTGTGTGTGTGCGTGTGTGTGTGTGTGTGTGTGTGTGTGTGCGTGTGCGTGCGTGTGTGTGTGTGTGTGCGTGTGTGTGTGCGTGTGTGTGTGTGTGTGTGTGTGTGTGTGTGTGTGTGTGAGTGTGAGTGTGTGTGTGTTAGTGTGTGTGTTTCATTCAGAATCAGATCCGCTATCGTTGCTCTAAGAGAAAATCTGTGGGTGCACATCCAGTGCATTTGCAGATTTGCGTGCTTCTCTTGCGACGGGCGTATACATGGTACATGGTGTGTGTCTGTGTGTGTACATGGTGTGTGTCTATATGTGTGTGTGTGTGTGTGTGTGTGTGTGTGTGTGTGTGTGTGTGTGTGTGTGTGTGTGTGTCTCCGTAGCCTCTCACTCCACTGGCCGGCACTCCCCGTACCGCAAGTTGCTGTGAGTCTTAGTTAATGTGTGTGTGTATGTGTGTGTGTGCGCACGCGCGCACGCACATGTGTATGTATGTATGTATGTATGTATGTATGTGTATGTAGTTGTTGAATGGTGTAATCCCAGCACAAGTTGCTATGTCTAACATAGCTGTTCGCTATCATCGCTTCCGCGATGGGCAGATCTGGTTTGCGGTGTGTGTATGTGTGTGTACTAATATGCACGCGCGGGGGGGGGGGGGGGGGGGGCAGTCTGAAGGCGTTGTGCAAAAAGTTGCAGCACGGCTTGTGATATGGGCTGTACTAAAGTAAGAATATTACATGGGTGGATTTCAATGCATTGGACTCTCCCCTCTCACCTTGGAACAGGAATGCCAGTTGTGAAGCAGGTGCCGGGAATACCTGAAACAGGATAAGAAACACATTTTCAACATTTTCTAGTCCAAATACTATCAAAGAAAGGGGGTTTCTCAACCGATAAGCGCTCTATTCATGTTGTATAATGATGTGTTGTTTTCCTGTGTGATGGCATTCCCCAAACGGTCTCGTCTAGTCGCGTTCATGTGTGATATGAGCATGCGCGACTGTGAAGTCGACAGGCCTTTTGTCAGTCTCCTTGTTCGTCTCTTTGAGTGTAGTCTTCTTTTCCGTCATGTCAATAATAATAATGTAACAAACAAGTCTTGTCCTTTGTGTCCTGCGTCCCGGGAACAGAATGGCTGTGATTCTGTTACATTCAGTTGCTTTTCACTCTACTCATTGCGCTGATTTAAAGTTTGTTACATGAACAATGTAATCGGAACGTGATATTCTAGTCGGAGAGAAGATGGCAATCATTGATAGAAACACAACCAACCCACAACCAACGGACACAGATTCGTTACGACAGAAACGCTTTTTTCTCCAGAATTCATCAGTGACTTCTTCTGGTAGGTGACATGAGGGAATGAAAAAAAGCAGTTCAAGCGATCACCGCTGCTTTTCCTTGTCAGAGTCAACAATACACTTTGTTCTGCAGCATTGGGAGTAGTGTTGAAGTCGAGTTTGCTGACGAGGCTGCTGTGCTGCGGTTTGCAACACTTGTACTTTTAAATCACATGCATTTTAGTCACTCGTTTTGTACATTTTTTTTGCTTCCATCCTCAGGAGAGGATGTCTTTTTTAGGTGGGGGGTAGTGCTGCACATACTGCTGAACCGTGGTACACGCTGCTGTGCTTTTGCAACAGTTGTACTCACATGCATTTACAGGGGCGTTGGACACGCTACTGTCACTACGGTATTGACCGTACCACTATTTGCCCCGGTGCCCCGTGAATCAATAAAATTCACTGATCTAGGCTCTAAATTTCCAAAATTTTCCGGTCAGCAACCCCTCCCCCACGAGTAAATTGTACCTCAGATGGCTGACCGTACCACACTAAAATACCTTCCGACGCCCCTGATTTTAGTTACCCGCTTTGTACACTCTTCCTGCGCTGGTCCCCATTGGGACGGCATTGTATCGCTGACCCGTGTACCTTTTGTGCTGATGAGTGCACCATTTTCCTGGATATTATTCCCTTGTCAGTTGCCATTAAATTTTGTTAGTTGTCATTCGGAGTCAGTTGTCAAGTCGTCTACACAGAGAAAGAACAACTCCAAGTATTCTCTCCAACAAACAGGTTGGCCTTCTGTTGTGTAGCACGGTCGCGAGATACCTCGCCTTCAACTAGGCGACAAAAATGTTGTCCGTGCCAGCACATGTTCCAAAAGAGGCACGGACAACAAAAAGGACGTGAAAACACCACGGGAGAAAGACAGTCCAGCTGAGAATTGGACGATCGATCGAAACTCAATTGAAAAGCATGATCAAGATTCTGCGGCTGAATGCGTCTGGCGGAATTCAGCCGGATCGTTTTTTGGCTGAAAGATGCTGAAAGATGCGCAGCGGAAAAGCTGCAGAATTCAGCCGCTACCATGGAAAGGCGGACATTTTCCGTGCGTCTTGGGCCGAATGGCTGAAAAGTGTGCAGTGTGACCGCGGCCTAAGACAACTGGGTGACAGATCAAGGCGAGCTTATCGTAAGCCTAGGGTTGAATAAGCCCGAGCTTATTTTTGTCATGTAAACGGCTCCTTTTAATGCCATCGATTGTTCACTGTTTCCCCAGTAAATCAACAAAACAGCCCAGTAGACCAAGGGATCTGCAACTTGGAGGTCTGGTTAGAAGAGATACGATTGTACTAGAGTTAGTACTTATATTAAGTACAGCATGTCCATAACCAGGATCAGAAACCAATCGCACCCCGTCAACCCTCTGCAGCTTTGGATGAAGATACTGTTGGTGACAAACCAATAAAAAGCAGAGAATACGAGTCACAGTGATAGGCAGATATTTTTAATTTTGCAAGCAGTCACAACCAAAAAAGGACTAAAAAGACTGACATCAAAGACGACCAGAACAATATTAAAATGCACATTTACTCATGGGAGGAGAACAACAAACGTATGTCGCAAGTGACACAAGCTACATACAAATTCACAATCGACATGGACATGAACACTTCTACAGTACAGTGCAAAATTAACCCTTCGAAGTCCAGCTGTTGTTTTCTGGTTTTCCAGGCATTCGCAAAGTGTTGCGCGCAAACATGGATGGGCAATTTCACTCGCCAGGGGTGGAATTTCATTCCTACTGAAAAGTTTGTGATCTACTCCATCAAAAGGTTAGCCCTTTTTATTAAAAGAGCCGCCCCATACTTGAATGCGTCGTAAACGATGCATTGAAACGCAAAAATTTTCCAACAATCGAAATATCCAGGTCGAAGACAAAACTCTTACCTGTCGGTAGAAAACATCGTGAGCAGTGGTTCCTGAGATAAATCACTCGTGAGTTGCGCCGCGACTGCGGCGATTTCAAAAGCACGCAGCATGACTCCAGTACTAGGAATTTTGAGACTTTTCGTCACGCCAATTTACTCACATTTGCAAGGGTTTCACTTGTGACATTCTCAAGAGTACACACAGCAAAAAACCGGAACTCTGGGATCGAGAAAAACAAAATAGCTAGAGCAGGATTAAGGATACGGGGCTATCGTTAAGAAACTTTGGGAATTTTAAGGGAATTCTATCAATTTTTGCCAGATCCATTAACTTTCAGAAGAAATTGGGGGTAATTCTGTCAATATTGAACTGCCAGAGAACGAGCACACATCCATGGGCGCACATACATGTGCATTTGATGAGTAGTACTCGCTTGGACAACAGCGCTATAGCCCCCTCGCACGCGCGTGCAGCCTAAGTACAGCTGTAGCTGTGTAGATCTGTAGATGCTGCATGCAGCAATACTGCCAATAGTGCAAATCGGTTATCATGTGCCTGACCGTCCATTTTGCATACTAAAGCGCATGCGCAAGGCACGATTCGTGCTCGTTTGTTGGATGAATTTGGGGAATTATGGGGAAATTTTTTGATGTTTTTGGAGAATACTTTCGAACTTCCGCGGGAAATTCCCAAAAGAATAATATCGGGTGCGTACGGGCATAATCCGCGCACCCCTAAGCAGGACGCAATTGGACGCATTTGAGGCATTTTCGTTCCGTCGGTGCTCTCTAGCGCTGGATATACAGTGTGCTGGCTATGATCAGGATCATGGTCAATCTCATTCTCTTTCTCTCGCGGAGACCTTTCCAGGAAGCCCTCTCTTGAATAGTGCCCCATCTGTGATAGACATTGAAAAAACATTGCCTAAGGGGCACTAATCACGCGAGTACGGAAAGTTCGGGATCAGAAAAGATTAGGGGTGAAAGTTGGCACTGAGATCCCGAGTTCGAGTACTCTGATTTTCTCCGATCGAATATTCGAGTATTCTTGATATCCTAAAAATCGCACACCAACCGCCTTAAAAATCACATACTTCCTCCGCGTCATCGAAATTGTCGCAGTTTGACTTTTGATATAAAACGGGTTATTTACTCACCAGCACTCGTACCAGAGGCAAGGAATCGGACATAGGCGATAGTCATCAGTATAGGGTGACGGCAAAGTTCTATTTTCTGTTATTGGAAGCTGGAATTTTTGAACTAGACGCAATTTCTTCGCTGATGTCGCTGCGATGGTAATTTCGACTCGCTGAGATCAGTCAGGCGTTGCAGACTGCACATTTCTCGTGCTTATGGCCATTCACTCAAGCCTCATCAATGTTTTACCTTAGCTGGGGTGAGAATGACTTCGTGGAACAAGTGGCAGCGCTTGGAGAAACATCGAGGGGTCAGCAAACTAAATGCCTGCAACAGCGATAAAATTTGTCGCTCTGGCTGAGACACTCAGTACATGATTGTACCTGCAAGAGCTGTGTAGACTCTACACGTAGTGCTAGTGATGGACGCGCAGGTGCCATACCATGGTATACCAGTGTTGCTGAAAAAGAGGGCGCGCTGGACGTGATAGTACACATACCTGCATGAGCTGTGACCACACAGCTAAAATATATGGGCATGCCACGGCTAAAAAAAGTTCATTTCAAGATCGAGGTGATTCCGCCGACGGTAATCAACCGACCTCGCAATGATCGTGTATTCTTACTAGGCTTCGTTGGTGGTGAAGTAGAAATCATCCAGAGCTAGTAGACGACAAGCATAGCAGCTCTTGTCCTGTGGAGATAGTCAAAGCGTTTGAGATGAGGCGCGACCAACTTTCAACCTTCCTTGAAATATTTCGGAACGATATTTTTGCGTCCATTGACATCAGCGACGACGAGGACTTCATCTCTGCATGAAAACTTTCAGTCCAACTGTCCTGGAACGGTACTCTAGTCTTCAGACTATCATACTGTGTAATAAGTTTTGAATGGTTTAGCTTATGGAGTTGTCAGTAACAAGTGGCAAGTCACTAGTCAAACTGCGACAATTTCGATGACGCGGAGGAAGTAATACAACCCTGATTGAACCGATTGGCAGTTCTTTTTGTCGGGTGTATTGGTTGGTGGGTCATTTGGATTCTCTCGACTCGTGTACAAATGTTCATCACACAGTCTGCACATCAATATCTGCTGACTGCTGCTCTGAAACTGCAGACTTCTGTGGTAAATGCATGTACCATGTATGAGCGAGTACTCTGATCTATTCCGAGTACGATTATATTTGAAAAATCCAAACGAGTGTTCGAATATTCGGCATAATTGTTTCACCCCTAGAAAAGATATACAAAACCATACTAGTAGCACTGAAACAAACAAATTGCTTTAACTATCGTATGTTTTAGATATGAAAGGATTTTAAAACAAACATTCTCTTCAGGGAGTAGCCAAGATCTCTTTCAAAGAGGCTCCCATCAATCTAGTTTCTCCATGCCAAGTATCAAATCACTGTGGGGAAACACATCTTTTAAGCTGTCACTCGTCTTGATATAAGCAAAGAGATCGTTTTAAATCAAAAAATTGTGGATTTTGTAAGTTTACATATGGTGAGCTACACTAATCGAATATTGCATGCTGTACATCATCCACTTGACCAGCACCTAACTGATGACCTGCGTTTGAGCTGCACCTCATTTTCACATGAAAGACTCGAATGTGACGTTATGGAAGAGTCTGCCATCACCGTACACTCATTACACTACATTAGATAATGTACAGGCAGGTATTGTGGTGTACATGTCATGTAATGTGAATCAAGAATAGAACACCTCCACAACACAATATTGTATGCATGCACTTCATTGCACTGGTTACTGAAACAGTCAACTTACCTCATCCCTTGCGTTTGGGTCTGCACCGCTGGATACCAACAGCTCCACATCCCCGCCGAACAAGTCCTTCCCCACAGCACAATGTAGTGGAGTCCTTTGACACTGAAGGTTGTGAACGAAAGCAAATAAGTTCAGGATCAGAAAAGATAAACAACACCACACTAGTAGCACTGAAACAAACATACTGCTTCAATACTTGAATGCTCTAGATGTGAATGAAATAACAAACATTCTCTTCCGGGAGTAGCCAAGATCTCTTTTAAAGAGGCTCCCATCAATCTAGTTTCTCCATGCCAAGTATCAAATCACTGTGGGGAAACACATCTTTTAAGCCCTCACTCGTCTTGATATAAGCAGAGAGATCGTTTTAAATCAAAGAATTGTGGATTTTGTAAGTTTACATGGTGAGCTACACTAATCGAATATTGCATGCTGTACATCATTTACTTGACCAGCACCTAACTGATGACCTGAGTTTGAGCTGCACCTCATTTTTCACATGAAAGACAGGAATGTGATGTTATGGAAGAGTCTGCCATCACCGTACACTCATTACACTACATTAGATAATGTACAGGCAGGTATTGTGGTATACATGTCATGTAATGTGAATCAAGAATAGAACACCTCCACAACACAATGTTGTATGCCTGCACTTCATTGCACTGGTTACTGAAACAGTCAGCTTACCTCATCCCTTGCGTTTAGGTCTGCACCGCTGGATAGCAAGAGCTTCACACCTCTGCCCGGCTTGTCACTCTCCGCAGCATAATTTTGAGGCGTCTTTCGACACTGAAGGTTGTGAACAAAAGCAAATAAGTTCAGTATCAGAAATGATTTGAATACCACACTAGTAGCTGAAACAAACATACTGCTTCAATATTCGAATGTTCTAGATGTGAATAAAATAACAAACATTCTCTTCAGGGAGTAACCAAGATATCTTTCAAAGAGGCTCCCATCAATCTAGTTTCTCCGTGCCAAGTATCAAATCACTGTGGGGAAACGCTTCTTTTCAGCTCACACTCGTCTTGATAAAAAGTTCTAGTGCTGAAACGATTATATCGTTTACTCCTTATTTACTCGATAAGAAATAGATCGAACGGTTATTTCGAATTTATCGGCTAAACGAGTAGAATGGTACTTACGCTCGGTACTAGATTTCTCCCCTTTTGCGGGTCGCACAAAGCGTGCATGCATCGAAAGTGTTGGGAGTACGACACGAATATGTACATGACTGAACACTTGCAACATCGATGTACGTGTAAAGTACAAGCGCGATCTGAGTAACATCCACACGATCACCGCTACATCGCCGTCTTTTGAGCTGACTACTTTTCTTACATACAGCATGCAGGACGGGCAGGCTCAGTATGAATCTACACTAGCTGCAGGGGCTAGAGTTCCCTCCACGTGCGAGTAGTCTTGAGCTAAAGACAGTAAAGTGGTCTTCAGTTTCATGTTTTCCGTTCTATCGACGGTTCCCGAACCAGTTTTCTCGACGACGAGCTACGCCTGGCATCTGGGTCTATTTTGAGCATAGACAGGAAAAGCAACTAGTTACTTGTTGGTGCGCCTCAAGTCAGCTCATCCGTCGAAATCCGCCGATCTGCACCCCTGGCCGGCTTCTCTGACTTCATTGTTGGAGTCAGCGAAGTCATGGGCGAAGGGCACCATCAGCTCTGGGGTTGCAACCAGTGAGGTGCCTCTGTCTTGTCTGTAATCGTCTGGTCAGTCCGAACAGCTGACGGACTATTTGCGGGATCATAGGATCTATGCGCCCGCTTTCCGTCGTTGGCGATCTTGCTATCGTATTTTTTTGGAAATTCACAGAATGTACATTATTGTACTGATGTAGTTCCAATAATATTCGTTTAGCCGATGAGCCGATCGTTCTGGTATCAGCTAAGCCACTAAGGAAAAAAACGTAATCGTTTCAGCACTAATATTAAAAACAGAGAAATCGTCATAAAACAAGGAATTGTGTATTTTGTAAGTTTACATATGGTGAGGTACACCAATCGAATATTGCATGCTGGGCATCATCCACTTGACCAGCGCCTAACTGATGACCTGCGTTTGACCTGCACCTCATTTTTCACATGAAAGACTGGAATGTGACGTTATAGAAGAGTCTGCCATAATCGTACACTCGTTACACTACATTAGATAATGTACAGGCAGATCTTGTGGTATACATGTCATGTAATGTGAATCAAGAATAGAACACCTCCACAACACAATGTCCTATGCCTGCACTTCATTGCAGTGGTTACTGAACCAGTCAACTTACCTCATCCCTTGCGTATGGGTCTACACCGCTGGATAGCAACAGCTCCACATATCTGACACCACAGCCACTCTGCGCAGCATAATATAGAGGCGTCTTTCGACACTGAAGGTTGTGAACAAAATGCAAATAAGTTCAGGATCAGAAAAGGTAAACAACACCACACTAGTAGCACTGAAACAAACATACTGCTTCAATATTCGAACATTCTAGATGTGAATGAAATAGCAAAACATTCTCTTCCGGGAGTAGCCAAGATCTCTTTCACAGAGGCTCCCATCAATCTAGTTTCTCTATGCCAAGTATCAAATCACTGTGGGGAAACACATCTTTTAAGCCCTCACTCGTCTTGATAAAAGCAGTGAGATCGTTTTAAATCAAAGAATTGTGTATTTTGTAAGTTTACATGGTGAGCTACACAAATCGAATATTGCATGCTGTACATCATTCACTTGACCAGCACCTAACTGATGACCTGAGTTTGAGCTGCACCTCATTTTCACATGAAACACTGGAATGTGACGTTATAGAAGAGTCTGCCATCACCGTACACTCATTACACTACATTAGATAATGTACAGGCAGATCTTGTGGTATACATGTCATGTATTGTGAATCAAGAATAGAAAACCTCCACAACACAATGGTGTATGCCTGCACTTCATTGCACTGGTTACTGAACCAGTCAACTTACCTCATCCCTTGCGTATGGGTCTGCACCGCTGGATAGCAACAGTTCAACACTTCTGCTACAAAAGCCATTCTGCGCAGCATAATGTAGGGGCGTCTTTTGACACTGAAGATTGTGAATAAAAGCAAAAAAGTTCGGGATCAGAAAAGATATACAATATCACACTAGTAGCACTGAAACAAACATACTGCTTCAATATTCGAATGTTCTAGATGTGAATAAAATAACCAACATTCTCTTCAGGGAGTAGCCAAGATCCCTTTCAAAGAAGCTCCCATCAATCTAGTTTCTCTATACCAAGTATCAAATCACTGTGGGGAAACACATCTTATAGAAGCTCACACTCGTCTTGATAAAAACAGAGAAATCGTTTTAAAACAAGGAATTGTGGATTTTGTAAGTTTACATGGTGAGCTACACAAATCGAATATTGCATGCTGTACATCATTCACTTGACCAGCACCTAACTGATGACCTGAGTTTGAGCTGCACCTCATTTTCACATGAAACACTGGAATGTGACGTTATAGAAGAGTCTGCCATCACCGTACACTCATTACACTACATTAGATAATGTACAGGCAGATCTTGTGGTATACATGTCATGTATTGTGAATCAAGAATAGAAAACCTCCACAACACAATGGTGTATGCCTGCACTTCATTGCACTGGTTACTGAACCAGTCAACTTACCTCATCCCTTGCGTATGGGTCTGCACCGCTGGATAGCAACAGTTCAACACTTCTGCTACAAAAGCCATTCTGCGCAGCATAATGTAGGGGCGTCTTTTGACACTGAAGATTGTGAATAAAAGCAAAAAAGTTCGGGATCAGAAAAGATATACAATATCACACTAGTAGCACTGAAACAAACATACTGCTTCAATATTCGAATGTTCTAGATGTGAATAAAATAACCAACATTCTCTTCAGGGAGTAGCCAAGATCCCTTTCAAAGAAGCTCCCATCAATCTAGTTTCTCTATACCAAGTATCAAATCACTGTGGGGAAACACATCTTATAGAAGCTCACACTCGTCTTGATAAAAACAGAGAAATCGTTTTAAAACAAGGAATTGTGGATTTTGTAAGTTTACATGGTGAGCTACACTAATCGAATATTGCATGCTGGGCATCATCCACTTGACCAGCACCTAACTGATGACCTGCGTTTGAGCTGCACCTCATTTTCACATGAAAGACTGGAATGTGACGTTATGGAAGAGTCTGCCATCACCGTACACTCATTACACTACATTAGATAATGTACAGGCAGGTATTGTGGTATATATGTCATGTAATGTGAATCAAGAATAGAACACCTCCACAACACAATGTCGTATGCCTGCACTTCATTGCACTGGTTACTGAATCAGTCAACTTACCTCATCCCTTGCGTTTAGGTCTACACCGCTGGATAGCAACAGCTTCATACCTCGGCTATCAAAGACACTCTGCGCAGCATAATGTAGAGGCGTCTTTTGACACTGAAGGTTGTGAACAAAAGCAAATAAGTTCAGGATCAGAAAAGATGAACAACACCACACTAGTAGCACTGAAACAAACATACTGCTTCAATATTCGAACATTCTAGATGTGAATGAAATAGCAAAACATTCTCTTCAGGGAGTAGCCAAGATCTCTTTCAAAGAGGCTCCCATCAATCTAGTTTCTCTATGCCAAGTATCAAATCACTGTGGGGAAACACATCTTTTAAAGGGAAACTGAACGCCAAAAATAAGTATGGCTTATCCGAAGGAGAATTGGGCACTGATTCCGATGAGCTATGTCTCGAGCCGATCAGAGAAGAGGAACTGTGTCAAATTTCATAAATAACACCTCCCATATTTGGAAATTGGCCTTGATGACGTGCGTACTGCTTAGCTGTCACCATGCTGTGCATGTTCAGCAGTGTAATTGAATGGAAGAAAACAATTACTTTGGTGTTTTGCAGCTCTGTTTCGTTCCCTGACGGTAACCAAATCTAGATGTAGGGATCTGTTGAGCAGGAGAGTGACACATGTCTTCCCGAAGGCTGTCCAGGCTGCAGTGGTGATGAAGAAGACACGATCATCACCCCGAGATCGATCGTAGCGAATTGGAAAACTCATGGTGAATTTGCTTCCACTCCAAGGCAATGTCGAGGTATGAAGGGTGCTTGTACTGCCTTCCAAAGTGAAAAGGAGATGAACATGGCTTTGCATAGCTGTTGTTCTATGCCAACTTACCTACTCTTGCTGGTACTGTAGTGGCATATTGCAAATTTCGTGGACGAACAACTCTAGTCACTAGTGGCTAGTGAGCAACACTAACAGGTGAGATTTTTCAATTCGACAAAAATTGTTTTTGTTTGAGAACTGACAGTGGCAGTCATTAGACTCAGTAGGTGTCTCTCTGCTGCTTCTTTCCCTTCATCGGTAGGGTTGTGCTTGAAGTAAAAATAAATAGAAAATGTGGAACAAAAATCTGATCATGTAATTCGAATTTGAACTTCAAAGTATGTGTACATCAAATCACAAAAATGACTGTCAAGGTGGTGCTGCGCATTGAAAAAAACTGGGAGCTGGCAGCAATGGAAAGGGTAGAAACGAAACCAGTAATGCAGAGTATTCATAAGGTAGAGGGAGATGAAAACGGGAGAGGAGTAGTGAGCACTTCAGTTTGAAGTAGTGTCAATAGACAGCATCGTGTTGCATACGTTGTGAATATTGTGTGAATCTAATAATTGTCGCGAAATTGATATCCAAAATTATTATCCCCTGAGTAGTATTATGGTGTTCTCCTGTGTTAACATGCAGAGCCTTGACGTTGCTGGACGAGCGACAATATAAATTACATAAACATGTAGCTCGTGATGTGGGATGACTGCCGTATCGCATTGCCAACGCAAACCCATCCTGTGTCAGTGCAGCCATCCAGCAACTTGAACTCCCCGGACCAGATGCCGCTGCAGCTGAACACCATGCCGATGGAAAGCCAGGAGTTGATAGCGAAGCATTCTGGTCTGCACAGTACAAGGCAAAGAACAATTATGAATTATAATGCATTGTAGTCTTTCCCACACTTCTTTGTAAAAACAAACAAACAGTGCCATTATCACAACACTTGATAAAGCATCTTGATGGAGGTATTTTCCATTGTGCTGGCTCAGCATCTGCACCAGGAAGACCATGTACACTTACACGTATCTTGTGTGTGTGTGTTCGTGCGTGTGTGTTTGTGTATCTGTATGTGCACACGTGTGTGTGTGGGGGGGGGGGGACGCACATGTGTATGGGTAGGAATGTGTGTGTGTTGGGGGGGGGGGTACACGCACATGTGTATGGATGTGCGCGCTGCATGCGTGTGTCTGTGGGATGGGGTGGGGCTGCACGCACATGTGTACATGTGTGTGCACAATACAGCATGTGTGTATGTGTTCGTTGAACACAGGGTGTACTCCTGATTACATAAACTTCGTGATCATTGTGATTTCATGTGCTTTGAAGTTGAAATTCGCAATACATGTACTGATGCTTGATTAGATTTATGTTCCACATGTTCTATTTATTTTATTTTACTTCAAGCACTTGTACTATTCAAGCACAACCCTACCAATGAAGGGAAAGAAGCAGCAAAGACACCTACTGAGTCTAATGACTGCCACTGCCAGTTCTCAAACAAAAACAATTTTTGTCGAATTGAAAAATCTCACCTGTTAGTGTTGCTCACTAGCCACTAGTGACTAGAGTTGTTCGTCCACGAAATTTGCAATATGCCACTACGGTACCAGCAAGAGTAGGTAAAGTTGGCATAGAACAACAGCTATGCAAAGCCATGTTCATCTCCTCTTCACTTTGGAAGGCAGTACAAGCACCCTTCATACCTCGACATTGCCTTGGAGTGGAAGCAAATTCACCATGAGTTTTCCAATTCGCTACGATCGATCTCGGGTGATGATCGTGTCTTCTTCATCACCACTGCAGCCTGGACAGCCTTCGGGAAGACATGTGTCACTCTCCTGCTCAACAGATTCCTACATCTAGATTTGGTTACCGTCAGGGAACGAAACAGAGCTGCAAAACACCAAAGTAATTGTTTTCTTCCATTCAATTACACTGCTGAACATGCACAGCATGGTGACAGCTAAGCAGTACGCACGTCATCAAGGCCAATTTCCAAATATGGGAGGTGTTATTTATGAAATTTGACACAGTTCCTCTTCTCTGATCGGCTCGAGACATAGCTCATCGGAATCAGTGCCCAATTCTCCTTCGGATAAGCCATACTTATTTTTGGCGTTCAGTTTCCCTTTAAGCCCTCACTCGTCTTGATATAAGCAGAGAGATCGTTTTAAATCAAAGAATTGTGGATTTTGTAAGTTTACATGGTGAGCTACACAAATCGAATATTGCATTCTGTACATCATCCACTTGACCAGCACCTAACTGATGACCTGTGTTTGAGCTGCACCTCATTTAAACATGAAAGACAGGAATGTGACGTTATAGAAGAGTCTGCTATCACCGTACACGCATTACACTACATTAGATAATGTACAGGCAGATCTTGTGGTATACATGTCAAGTAATGTGAATCAAGAATAGAACACCTCCACAACACAATGTCGTATGCCTGCACTTCATTGCACTCGTTACTGAAACAGTCAACTTACTTCATCCCTTGCGTTTGGGTCTGCACCGCTGGAAAGCAACAGCTCCATACCTCGGCTATCAAAGCCATTCTCCGCAGCATAATGTAGAGGTGTCTTTTGACACTGAAGGTTGTGAACAAAAGCAAATAAGTTCAGAATCAGAAAAGATTTCAATACCACACTAGTAGCACTGAAACAAACATACTGCTTCAATATTCGAATGTTCTGGATGTGAATGAAATAACCAACATTCTCTTCAGGGAATAGCCAAGATCTCTTTCAAAGAAGCTCCCATCAATCTAGGTGATCCATACCAAGTATCAAATCACTGTGGGGAAACACATCTATAAAGCTCACACTCGTCTTCATAAAAACAGGGAGATCGTTTTAAATCAAAGAATTGTGGATTTTGTAAGTTTACATATGGTGAGCTACACAAATCGAATATTGCATGCTGGGCATCATTCACTTGACCAGCACCTAACTGATGACCTGCGTTTGAGCTGCACCTCATTTTCACATGAAAGACTGGAATGTGACGTTATGGAAGAGTCTGCCATCACCGTACACTCATTACACTACATTAGATAATGTACAGGCAGATCTTGTGGTATACATGTCAAGTATTGTGAATCAAGAATAGAACACCTCAACAACACAATGTCGTATGCCTGCACTTCATTGCAATGCTTACTGAAACAGTCAACTTACCTCATCCCTTGCGTTTGGGTCTGCACCCCTGGATAGCAAAAGCTCCACTCTTCTACCACACCCCCAACGCGCCGCAGCATGATGTAGAGGTGTCTTTTGACACTGAAGGTTGTGAACAAATGAAATCGAAAACATACATATACCGTACTCACGCGATTAGAGCCCTCTCCTGAATAGTGCCCCCCCCGGCCCGGGCTTGTAACCTAGCGCATGTGACACAGCGCATGTGCAAGTTTGGTACTCGTTTGCTAATGTAACGTTACTTGTCCATCTCATTGCCTGACTGGTGATTTCAGGATCAAATCGCAGTTCTTGTTGCGGCTGAGTCGTGATAGTTTACAGTAAACTTGCGGGTCTGTTATTCTTTGCTTTCTTTGTTTTTTATGCTTGATAGGGTAAATGTACCAGCACTGAAAACATAGTGCCCTCTGTTCAATAGTGCACTCTCTTGAATAGTGCCCTCTCTTGAATAGTAGCCCGTCTGTGAAGGACGTTGAAAATACATTGCCTCAGGGGCACTAATCACGCGAGTACGGAAAGTTTAGGATCAGAAAAGATATACAAAACCATACTAAGAGCACTGAAACAAACAAATTGCTTTAATAATCGTATGTTTTAGATATGAAAGGATTAACAAACATTCTCTTCAGGGAGTAGCCAAGATCTCTTTCAAAGAAGCTCCCATCAATCTAGGTTCTCCATGCCAAGTATCAAATCACTGTGGGGAAACACATCTTTAAAGCTCACACCCGTCTTGATATATGTGGAGAGATCGTTTTAAATCAAAGAATTGTGGATTTTGTAAGTTTACATGGTGAGCTACACAAATCGAATATTGCAAGCTGTACATCATTTACTTGACCAGCACCTAACTGATGACCTGTGTTTGAGCTGCACCTCATTTTCACATGAAAGACAGGAATGTGACGTTATGGAAGAGTCTGCCATCACCGTACACTCATTACACTACATTAGATAATGTACAGGCAGATCTTGTGGTATACAGGTCATGTATTGTGAATCAAGAATAGAACACCTCAACAACACAATGTCGTATGCCTGCACTTCATTGCAGTGGTTACTGAACCAGTCAACTTACCTCATCCCTTGCGTATGGGTCTGCACCGCTGGATAGCAAGAGCCCCACATTTATACTACACCACAGACACTTCACAGCATGATGTAGAGGTCTCTTTTGACACTGAAGGTTGTGAACAAATGAAATCGATAACATACACATACCGTACTCACGCGATTAGAGCCCTCTCCTGAATAGTGCCCTCCCCCCCCCCCCCCCCCGGCCCGGTCTTGTAACCCAGTGCATGTGACACAGCGATGTGCAAGTTTGGTATTCGTTAGCTAATGTAACGTTACTTGTCCATCTCCTTGCCCTGGTGATTTCAGGATCAAATCGCAGTTCTTGTTGCGGCTGAGTCATGATAGTTTACAGTAAACTTCCGGGTCTGTTATTCTTTGCTTTCTTTGTTTTTTATGCTTGATGGGGTAAATGTACCAGCACTGAAAACATAGTGCCCTCTCTTGAATAGTGCCCTCTCTTGAATAGTGCACTCTCTTGAATAGTGCCCTCTCTTGAATAGTGCACTCTCTTGAATAGTGTTCTCTCTTGAATAGTACCCCATCTCTGAAGGACGTTGAAAAAACATTGCCTCAGGGGCACCAATCACGGGAGTACGAAAAGTTCAGGATCAGAAAAGATATACAAAACCATACTAGTAGCACTGAAACAAACAAATTGCTTTAATAATCGTATATTTTAGATATAAAGGATTAACAGACATTCTCTTCAGGGAGCAGCCAAGATCTCCTCCAAAGAGGCTCCCATCTAGCTAGGTTCTCCATGCCAAGTATCAAATCACTGTGGGGAAACACATCTTTTAAGCTCTCACTCGTCTTGATATAAGCAGAGAGATCGCTTTAAATCAAAGAATTGTAGATTTTGTAAGTTTACATGGTGAGCTACACTAATCGAATATTGCAAGCTGTACATCATCCACTTGACCAGCACCTAACTGATGACCTGAGTTTGAGCTGCACCTCATTTTCACATGAAAGACTGGAATGTGACGTTATGGAAGAGTCTGCCATCACCGTACACTCATTACACTACATTAGATAATGTACAGGCAGATCTTGTGGTATACATGTCATGTAATGTGAATCAAGAATAGAACAACTCCTCAACACAATGTCGTATGCCTGCACTTCATTGCACTGCTTACTGAAACAGTCAACTTGCCTCATCCCTTGCGTTTGGGTCTGCACCCCTGGATAGCAACAGCTCCACCCTTCTGACACCCCAGCCACTCTGCGCAGCATAATGTAGAGGTGGCTTTTGACACTGAAGGTTGCGAGCAAATGGAATTGGCCATACAGTACTGTCCGGCGCCGAAGGACGGAGCGCCGAAGGGCGGAGCGCCGAAGGACGGAGCGCCGAAGGGCGGAGCGCCGAAGGACGGAGCGCCGAAGGGCGGAGCGCCGAAGGACGGAGCGCCGAAGGGCGGAGCGCCGAAGGACGGAGCGCCGAAGGGCGGAGCGCCGAAAAACGGATCGCCGAGGAACGGAGCGCCGAAGGACGGAGCGCCGAAGGAGGGAGCGCCGAAGGAGGGAGCGCCGAAGGACGGAGCGCCGAAGGACGGAGCGCCGAAGGACGGAGCGCCGAAGGGCGGAGCGCCGAAGAACGGATCGCCGAAGAACGGAGCGCCGAAGGAGGGAGCGCCGAAGGACGGAGCGCCGAAGGACGGAGCGCCGAAGGACGGAGCGCCCAAGAACGGAGCGCCCAAGTACGGAGCGCTAAAAAACGGAGCGCCCAAGAACGGAGCGCCCAAGAACGGAGCGCCCAAGAACGGAGCGCCCATGTACGGAGCGCCCAAGAACGGAGCGCCCAAGGACGGAGCGCCGAAGGACGGAGCGCCGAAGGGCGGAGCGCCGAAGGACGGAGCGCCGAAGGGCGGAGCGCCGAAGGACGGATCGCCGAAGGACGGAGCGCCGAAGGACGGAGCGCCGAAGGAGGGAGCGCCGAAGGACGGAGCGCCGAAGGACGGAGCGCCGAAGGACGGAGCGCCGAAGGACGGAGCGCCCAAGAACGAAGCGCCCAAGAACGGAGCGCCCAAGTACGGAGCGCCCAAGAACGGAGCGCCCAAGAACGGAGCGCCCAAGAACGGAGCGCCCAAGAACGGAGCGCCCAAGTACGGAGCGCCCAAGAACGGAGCGCCCAAGAACGGAGCGCCCAAGTACGGAGCATCCAAGAACGGAGCGCCCAAGAACGGAGCGCCCAAGAACGGAGCGCCCAAGTATGGAGAGCCCAAGAAGGGTGCGCCCAAGTACGGAGCGCCCAAGAACGGAGCGCCCAAGAACGGAGCGCCCAAGGACTGAGCGCCGAAGGACGGAGCGCCGAAGGTCGGAGCGCCAAAGGACGGAGCGCCGAAGGACGGAGTGCCGAAGGACGGAGCGCCGAAGGTCGGAGCGCCAAAGGACGGAGCGCCGAAGGACGGAGCGCCGAAGGACGGAGCGCCCAAGAACGGAGCGCCCAAGTACGGAGCGCCCAAGAACGGAGCGCCCAAGAACGGTGCGCCCAAGAACGGAGCGCCCAAGAACGGAGCGCCCAAGTACGGAGCGCCCAAGAACGGAGCGCCCAAGTACGGAGCGCCCAAGAACGGAGCGCCCAAGTACGGAGCGCCCAAGAACGGAGCGCCCAAGAACGGAGCGTCCAAGTACGGAGCGCCCAAGAACGGAGCGCCCAAGTACGGAGCGCCCAAGAACGGAGCGCCCAAGAACGGAGCGCCCAAGGACGGAGCCCAAGGACGGAGCGCCGAAGGACGGAGCGCCGAAGGTCGGAGCGCCGAAGGACGGAGCGCCGAAGGACGGAGCGCCGAAGGACGGAGCGCCGAAGGTCGGAGCGCCGAAGGACGGAGAGCCGACGGACGGAGCGCCGAAGGAAGGAGCGCCGAAGGACGGAGCGCCGAAGGACAGAGCGCCCAAGAACGGAGCGCCGAAGGACGGAGCGCCGAAGGACGGAGCGCCGAAGGACGGAGCGCCCAAGAACGGGGCGCCCAAGTACGGAGCGCCCAAGAACGGATCGCCCAAGAACGGAGCGCTCAAGAACGGAGCGCCCAAGAACGGAGCGTCCAACAACGGAGCGCCCAAGAACGGAGCGCCCAAGCACGGAGCGCCCAAGCACGGAGCGCCCAAGCACGGAGCGCCCAAGAACGGAGCGCCCAAGTACGGAGCGCCCAAGAACGGAACGCCCAAGTACGGAGCGCCCAAGAACGGAGCGCCCAAGAACGGAGCGCCCAAGAACGGAGCGCCCAAGTACGGAGCGCCCAAGAACGGAGCGCCCAAGTACGGAGCGCCCAAGTACGGAGCGCCCAAGAACGGAGCGCCGGGCTCCGTTCTTGGGCCAGGCTAGTATTTCATGAAGCACAGCATAACAATGTATACACGGTGACTGAACTGCGCATACACTGTAATACATGAAAATAAGAACGGTCTAGGCTAGGAGGCTGACCCTCCAGTTCTTCGGCGACCGACAGCACTGCATACACCAAGTTCGGAATCAGAAAAGATATAGGTTACACTCAGTATGGCATCATTTCTCTATTTGTCGTCACTGTCTCTATATGGCATCACCTGTTTACTTCCTGCCTATACGGCTTAACTGCGACTTTCTCTATATAACTCCAGGTCATTCTCTATATAACTCAAGACGCGACTTTCCCTATATATCTCCACTCGGGTTGAGACTTTCCCTGTATGACTCCAACTCAGGTTTTGTATGGAGAAGTTGGCAATCTGAATTGGAGTCATACAGAAAAAGTCTCAACCTACCACCTTATAATAGAGAAAGTCGCAGTGAAGTCATATAGGCATGAAGTAAACAGGTGATGACATATAGAGGACTTGGAGTAAACACATACAGAGAGCTGGCGGACTACTGAGTGCTACATATATACAACACCATACTGCAGTCCTGGCCAGATAAATCCAACCTGATAAATACAACAGAGCCTGGTGCCACACAGCGCTAGCATCACACACACACACACACCCACACACCACTGTGTGCCCTGGAGTACGGCGCTAGTCTTTACTCATTGGGTCGGATTTCTCTGGTCAGAACTAAGTAGCACTAAGTAGTGCAGAAACAAACATGCCGTTTGAATGTTTGCACGTTCTTGAAGGGAATACATTAAAGTTGGAGTCTAGTGAAGAATGTAAAATGTTATGTCAGTGCCTGGGGAGTTTGGGACGCTGTGTTGAAATGTCTTTGTCCAAGGAGACTGCAGTCCATAGTTTGTCAGATATTCCCAATCGAACGTGAGCGCGTAGCGTACCCCATCCGGTGACAACGTCATAGTGTGCAGCCAAGTACAGCACAACCTGGTGTACGCGACCTCTCGTTTTAGCGACCACCTGCTCTTAACGACCGTTTTGCCATGCACGGACAGTTCTACACAGACACCGTGGGACCTGGTTCTAAAGACCACCTGGCTTTAACGACCGCTTTTCCTTGCACCGTGGGGTGGTCGCTTAAACTAGGTTTTACGGTAGCACCAATTGTTAATTTACACAATCCCCCCCCCCCCCCTCCTCTTCTCAATGGGCATGAGACATACCGCTCAGTGTCAGCACCCTCGTTTCTCACATTAAGCTTCCAGACGAATACATACATTAAGAAGGGAGGTGGATTGTGCACATTTACATCTGGTGGCCTACTGTTGAATCTTAGAGGCAGCCGTAATTCCATACACATAACAAACTACGGACGAGGTAGGTGCCCGGCGACATTTCTTGCGGGAGACGACGAGGAGAGACAGAGAGATAGTGAGACAGAGACAAAGAGACAAAGAGAGAGAGAGAGAGAAAGAGAGAGAGAGAGAGAGAGAGAGAGAGAGAGAGAGAGCAAGAAAAGGGGCCCGGCACGGTAGCTAACACATATGGGTACACAAGTAGCTAACCAGGGCAACGGTATGCTACGCTTGCAGGCCAGGAAAGGGACCCTGGACCACTTTTGGCGTTGATCTCCTACCCTCACTTTGCAGGGCACAATGGCGCGGTAACTTCTGTTGCTTCTTCTCCATGATTTACACAGTTGCACCTCCCCCCCCCCTCTCTCTGCATAGAGGTGACATGACTCGCCTCATTTTTAGGCACTACACTCTGCGTATAATTATAATACTGCTCCTGTGTGGCTTGCACTGTATTTATTGTTCTTATTACCTGATGATGGCCGAGTGCCGAAACGTTGTAAAATTAACCCTTTGGTGCCTGACTGAATTTTAGATTTTTCGTAGTTTTGGCTCAATTTTTTGGAAAGCCTATATCTCCGCAACCGCTTAGATGATGTAGCGACAAAAGTATGTATTCTGAATGGCAAGACACAGCAAGATCCGATTTTTGAATTTTCAAGTCAGAAAAATCTACAATAGGGTCAGGGTACTGCCCTGGTCCAAGAACATCTTGGTCGCCAACACAACTCAGCACGCCGAATCCACTACCTCGTCCACGGCCTCCGCCACAGCCTCCGCCACACGCGCCACACACGCCACAATCAGCTGTTCGATCAGCTGGCTGAGCTCGACCAGCGCCGCGAGCAATTCCTCCGCGCAGCGCGAGCGGAGCACGTCCACGAACTGGCTGCGCTTGCCCTCGCCCTACAACTTCTTGAAGCTCATCGTCGGAAATTTTGTCCTCATCTGAAGAGCTGCCGTTCTCAAGAATTTCACCGAAAACCAAATCATCGTTGAGTCGGTCTTCCTCAACTGATGACGGCAGGTTTCCGTCAGAGAAAAGAGCGTCAGATTATTCACCATCGTCGTCTTCTGATTCTTCTTCTACAGGGGCATCATCGGCCTCCAGCTCTTCAAACAATTCAAGCGCTCCTGCAGCATCCATGACGGAGGTCAGCTGTAGTAGCCATGAACTGTACTAGTCGAAAACGAAGCGAAACAGCAACGTTTTGTTCATGTTGCGGGACGCGTGCGTAGGCTGCCACGCTCGATTGACTTCCGCTGATCTGCGCGATCGTCGTTGATCACGACTCGACTTTTTCAAATGCAACCCCCCTACTTTCTCTATTGCTATCTACAGGCCAGCTACTGAAGGGTCTCTGTACAAAAAATCAGGCACCTGCGATGTACGAGACCGGCTCTGTGCTCGATTTTAGTATGCACTGTCAGCATAGGTCGAAATCGACCTACCGGCACCTAAGGGATAATAACGGGACTGGTTCGGATGGGCAAAACCTAGCGTAGCAACAATATTCGAAGGGCTCCAATTCAAAAAGAGATAAATCCATTTTGTGGAAATTTCAGGAACTGTTTTTTCATTTGTTCTTTTTCGGCCTGCACTGCAGTATCAATGACTTTTGTCGCGCTTTGCAGAAGAACACAAACTTCAGACATCATTTGACTGGGATGCATCATGTTTTGACCCGTAAAACTGACACACAGACGTCCGTGGAGTGAAAACGAATTCTTTCGTGATAAAATACGCAATAGCTCAGGCTTGGTCTTTATCGCGTTTGAATAGGAGCCCTTCATGTATAGTCACAGAAACTTACTTCCTTTACAGCTCCATCGTCTTGGACATCTCCGACCCCCTGGACAGCTCTACTCTCCAGATCAGAACCATCTTCAGGATCATCTCCATACGCCGGCGCACTGTTGGGAGCGTCCATGTCTACACTTTCTGCTGTGTTGTCTTGCACTTGGCTGGCCACAGAGAAGGAAGTGGATGGTGATGCCGGCGTAGCTTCCAGGAATTCCGACACTGGTTGGACTGGAGCAGTCTGTGTAGCTGCAGACTACAGCACAGGACACCACACAGGAGAAACAGCATACTGAGATAAGAGGCACTCGGATGTGGTTCGAAGTAGGGCAGATTTTGACACCACAAGAGAGAGAGAGAGAGAAAGAGAAATAAAGAGAGAGAAAGAGAGAGAGAGAGAGAGAGAGAGAGAGAGAGAGAGAGAGAGAGAGAGAGAGAAGAGAGAGGAGAGTGAGAGAGAGAGAGAGAGAGAGAGAGAGAGAGAGAGAGAGAGAGAGAGAGAGAGAGAGAGAGAGAGAGGGGAGAGAGAGAGAGAGAGAGAGAGAGAGAGAGAGAGAGAGAGAGAGAGAGAGAGAGAGAGAGAGAGAGAGAGAGAGAGAGAGAGAGAGAGAGGGGAGAGAGAGAGAGAGAGAGAGAGAGAGAGAGAGAGAAAGGGGAGAGGAGAGAGAGAGAGAGAGAGAGAGAGAGAGAGGGGGGGGGAAGAGAGAGAGAATTTGCGAAGGAAAGAGAGAGAAAAACGAAGGAGAGAGAATAACGAAGGAGAGAGAGAAAAACGAAGGAGAGAGAGAGAGAGAGAGAGAGAGAGAGAGAGAGAGAGAGAGAGAGAGAGAGAGAGAGAGAAAGAGAGAGTAATTTGTATTGCTGCTCCGGCACCGCTAAAGTCACATACAGCGTGTAGCCCTCCCCCCCCCCTCCCCAAACCGGCGCCGCTGGAAGCATTTAGAGTGTTTCTAGCTCTCTTCCTCTCTTTTTCCTCTTCTTTCTCTCTCTCTCTCTCTCTCTCTCTCTCTCTTTCTTTCTCTCTCTCTCTCTCTCTCTCTCTCTCTCTCTTTCTCTCTCTCTCTCTCTATTTCTCTGCTGCAAGGATTCGCTCACTACCAACAGCCAGTGCAGTACAAAATGATGATTAGTGTTATTTGTCTCCGCCAAAAGTTCTCACATCACTCACACCACATACCTGTAACATCATTGCTGTCTGTACC